AGCTCTTCATATCCTCAGCCTGCCAGTGTCCAGTGTTAGCGTTGTGAGGGCATTCTCGAAGCTCAGGGTTATATTAACAGGGAAGAAAGAGTGCGGATCAACGAGGAGAACTTAGGAATGTACATGTGTGTGTACTATAATAAGATCACGTAATCCTGACGTACAAACGGTAAAGTTCCATTTTTTTTTTGGAAATAGGCTTTATATTTTACTTGTCTGTATTTCTGTTTTCTTCTTGTTTCTTTTACAGTTGCACACATTCGCCAAATAAAGTGTCCATTTCTTTTTCAATGTATCTGTGCCGTTATTCTTTGAATGATCAAAAATATCAGAGCTACAAGAATCATCTGATCCGGTGACCGTTGGTGTTTATTGTATATTCACTGAAAAACACCGATAAAATTTTGAGGGCATAAATATACGCCGAAAAAAACCGAAAATTGAATTTTAAAATAAACACCGAAAAAAGTACGCCGAATTTTGAAAAAAATAGAAACCGAAAACGCGGAACCCTAATTATAACCACGTGTCCTAATGCGGTCTTGGTTGTACAGCGTTCGAATGAGCCATCAAGAGCACAACCTTATCGCCTGCGGGACACAGCTTTTTTTACGCAAATTATATTCATCGAACATGTCCCCCCAATCTAGTGCCCAAAACATAAGCGCCTCTCACAATGCTGTAATAGTATCAATGGGGACTTTCTTGAAAACACAAAGAAGATATGAAGAAAAGTGTCTTATATTTAATTATGCTATCTGGTTCAGTAGATTGCGAGAAGAGCGCTTTACGCATGCCCCTTTAATCAACCTAGCCCTTACGAACCTTACCCACACTGGAGAAGAAAGGGCTAATCGAATGATGGCTAGCAGAGATGACTTGTGTCAAGAAATAGCATCTGCTCTACTTACAAAGATTTGATTTTGTTTCCTCTTTTGTCCGGATATTATTTGTGGTCAATCCGGAGACTATTGTTATTGCGTTACTAGCTCCTAGGTATATTTTAGGTCGCACTAGATGCATCATCAGTGAGATTGTCAGCAAGCGGATATATTTTTTTAATTATTTATTACTTCACGAAACACCGCAGAGAGTTATCATTTTGGTATAGACCTTTTTCGCATAACCTCAAACCAGCCAGAAACTGACGTACCCTCGACCTGGTGCATTTTTAGATTGCCCGCTAACACAGGGTATGCAACCGCCAAGGGTATGGGCGAAAAGGCTTAAAAACGGACGTCGTGCATGAGTTAGTTCCGAGTGCTCCTATTTACTGTGCTGAAATTTCCGAAAATCTATGGTTGTCTGGCTACCACTGCGTGGTTCGTCGGATGGATAAATAATTTCAAAAAGCATAAGAACAATAGAAGAAAGTGTGCCATGAGCACAAGAAGCTGCAGCGCGAGTGTGGCTGCAATGTTATCGAGCTTCGCATTTTCCCCAAGAATCCTAATTCATGAAATCAGCCGATTGCGAGATTAAATCGCGAGAGATACGTATCAGACTGAACGTCACGTTTAAGCTCACGATCACTTCGTGTACGACAAGAAGACAGATTTTAATTATCGGTGCAGGTGGTCCGATTAGGGTATCACTGCAAGCCCCATGGTATGTGAAAGGTATGAAAAAGTCTACTTGCCACCACTCAAGATGGAGCTATCAAATCTCGAGAGCTTACCTGCATATATATAGACTACATTAAATTGCTCATATACACTTCGCTGTGGAAACTCAATCAAAACACCCCACCGTCTTCGTCCTCGTTCTTTCGAGGCGGCAAGGTGATGGCCTGTGAGTAGCCAGCTGGATTTGACCGGACAAGCTCCAACCAAGTTATTGCAGCCCACCATAGCCAAGTCTAGCCAAGTTCCCCCCATACCCACACCGTTGCCTACCCAGGTAGCTGTGCTGCCAGAACTAGCCAGTATCTCTTTTTCTAAGCCGCTAGACAGCGTCGTCGGCGCCGCAATTCTGAAGATGGCGGCGCCTTTAAAGAAAAGGTCTATAGTCTCTTTCTAATTGAATCTCTATTTGTTCTTCCTCTACAAGTGCGACATATTTACCAACGCATATTTAAGATTTTTAAAATTAAATTTTTGCTTCTAGCTATTTATAAAAGAAGTTAGGTTGCTAGGCTACCTAGAATCCACCATGCTGGAAATCAGAAGAATAAAGCGCGCAAAGCTCCACGTCGGAGGACACGCCAGCGTTTTTCCACTCCTATTTTTGCGCCTGCTTCACGAGTGCTAACCTTGGTACGCCCCTGAGTTTCGCACGACCCTAAAGTTATTTTAAAATTGACTGATATAGTGATTTTCGATTAAGCTCAGCATATTTCTAATTAAAAGCATATGATTAATTTTACTAATTAAAACGTTAATCATAGAACTTTAGTTAACTATCCGACTAATCACAAAGATTAGCCACCTATATGATGACCCCCTGGCCGTATACCTGACCGGCCCAAACTTTATTTGTGCATCTTTTAGGGATTTTTCGGATTAAATCTGTTCGAATTAAAATGCTACGCCCGGTATTTATACATATTGCGAAACCTGTACCGCAAACTAGATTTCACGAGATATATGGCGAGGACGTACCCTTTTCATGATGTTATGCACTGTAATGAAGTTCTAAGTTCAAGAGCAAAACTAGGATTCGACTTTCAATACTGGGATGCCAAGTTGCACCAATCACAATTATTTTAAGCGATTTGCCAGACTGATAACCTTTCGATTCAGGTAAAATATATGCGACTGAAGTAAACAAATGGGCGTTGAGTCGTATAGACATGAAATTTTATATGTTAATCTAGCTTTTCTTTTACTACTTCGTCGAAAATAATTATCACAATTTACTATTTTTGCTACCTGAAAATAAATGTGAATTGTACGAATGATAAAACGCTGTATAATTACTCCTTTCACGGATGAAATAGTGCCAATTTATAAAACCACGCGGAAATTGTATTCTCAATTTAGCGGTTCCAACCATTATTTGTGATCCCCGGAACTGAACCAGTACCAAACCGAAAGCTGTGAAACCGAGCCCGAGCCGAACTGATAAAGGTTTCAGTTCGAAACTCTGGCCAGAACCATGGTGGAGCGCTGGACTTGTGCAGCAGGAGCACGACTGCCGGTGCGATAACGCGCCCCGCGGTTTTTCCCTCGAATCCGCGTTTCCTCCCTGCCAGCCTTGTGCATGGAGCACGTGTGGAAACTGTAGCGCGCTGCTGGGCTTCCCACGGCCCCAAATATTGTTTTCTTAAAGTTGCTGATAAAGTGGTTTTAAAGTACACTCGGAAAGTTTCTGGCTGGAACTATACGTTTATTTTCGCAACTTAAGAGGATATTTAACAAGTTTTAGCTAATTATTTGACTTACCGTGACCATGTCCCCTGGTCATATAATTCACCCCGCAAGAGCCTCATTGGTGTAACACTTTTATTTTTAAACAAATGTGTAAAGTTTAAGAGGTTCGTGAAACATGGCAGTTGGCGTGTGTAGCGAGACTGCGTTGTGTAAAAAGGCTCGATGTACACCTAAGCACTTGTTATGAGTTGTGAATGCGAAAGCATGTGCTGTGCTTGGAGATTTGTGTTTGTCCTTTGCCCCTCTTGTTCCCCTTCTCCACGGATTATTTTCGTCATTCTTGCTCGCCACGTGTTGCCGCGCTGACGGACATGCAGCACCGTGAGCTGACCGGTCGTTGAAACTAACGCGCAGCGTCACTTTCAACGACCGGCCACCCTATGGCGGTGCGTGTCCGGCAAATGGGAGCCCCGTCGACGCCCGCCAGCCAATGGGACCGAAGCGTAAAACGTGCTGTTGGCTAGCTTTGCGCGTTTTTTCAGCTGGGAGCTGGCTTGAGTTGGAGGAAGGATTTAAGGTGCCGTTTAGCGCAGTTTCAAAGCTGATGACGTAAGCTCGCTGCATGAGACAGTTAATGCTTTCGCATTAATAACCGAAGCTTTCCTATAATGCCTGAAAACTTCGCGAGGTACGGCGAAACTCAAACATTCTGTTATCGCTTCGGTGCCACTGAGATTGCGTTGTCAATAAGTCGATAAGAACAACAAGAACGAATCACGAGAAAGGGAGCGTGAAGATAAGAAGACATGCCCGACGTTTCTTTACTCACTAGAAACTATAGCCGATTAATTATATATTTACAATTTCGCGTGACAAATGCCTATACTATTTTCTGGGTATTTATATAACTTAGAGTTCAGGAACCAGCCGACATAGAAATCTTAACGAGAGAAGAGGTGTATAGTGGGGACCGTGGTAGCGTTCCCGGGCACCATGAACGCAACGTACAGTTTGAATTCAACCCATCATCCAGTAGACGTTTCCTCTCATGTGCTCCTAAAACATCATAACACTACAATCATTCATTTAGGCGGTGTCACACGTCATATTTCGATTCACCTACCATCATTGAAATACCAGTGAATACTCAAACTATTTTATCTCGAGCGCCTTGTTTGTGGTTCCTAGCAGAAGCCCCTTCTGAATTGCTTGTCGTCAAACCGAAATTGTTCTCCACAAGGAACCTGTCTCTTGGCGCAACGTTGTCAGCCAATCTGAGGCATACATGATGCAGACGATTATGGTGAGTTCGGTTAGTTTGTTCATTACGCACATTTAAACGCCAAAAAGAGAAATTGTGAAGAACGATTGCCATACAAGGATCTTAAATGTACGTAATGAACCAGTGGATTGACCTCGTTCTTCCCCTTGTCTTTGATTTTGGCGCCTAAATGTAAGTAATGAACTAACTAGCCCAACAGACTATTTTGCTGAAATTCATTTATTTTTTAAGCGCCTTGTATTGCCGTCGTTCTGCCACTTGTCCTTGTTTTTTGGAGCTTAAATGTATATCCAGGACAATTTTTTTTTCTAAATTGTTTTACTATATTTTACTACCTTCGTGTTTTGTTTGAAATGAACAAGTCAATCTTCAGTGTAATTAGCAATTCAACGCAAATTCTTTTGGTAATAAAAAGCCTCGATTTATTGGAACTACTGTTTTACAGCGCAAATTTTGCGAATCTTTTGACGGCTTGTTAGTGGGTCGATGTATGGAGCGATGAAAGTGTCCACGTACGCCGACACCCTGGTAAACATGTGGGGTGCAAATCTTGATCCACACACCGAGGGGCCGGCACTGACGATTCCGTGAAGTGACCACTCGCCGTTTGCAAAGTGTACAACCGGGCTACCACTGTCTCCCTGAAATAAAAAGACATCGGTTATTCTCACATGACATCGGAAAATCTCAGGTCCCAAGCCGAAAGGGGGAACTCTAACGCTTCGTAGAAGGACTCGTAAGTTATTTAGGAAGCTTTAGACCCTCAGCGTGCAGCTAAAAACTAGAATAAGTCACGCTTGTAGACAATTCCAACATAAACCTTCTCTAGGGCTGTGTTCCAAACCTTACCCGAATGAATCCGACGCGGGGGAGGTATGCCCCTCCTCCCCCTCCATACCTTCCCCTCCTTCTTAACCCGTTAACTTAACCCGCTAAAGTTAACAGGGAAATTTTTCCGTTAAATTTAGCGAGAAAATTTTTAACTATACGTAGCGGAAATTTTTCCCGGTAACTTTAGCGGAAAAACGTCCCATAATGCAACGCGCAGTTACGCCGACGCCGACGCCGCTCAACCCGGAAACGGGCGCCTAAGAGCTACGTTCTAAAAGTCAGTGACTATTTCGACGTCCACCGTCAAAATATCTCGAAAATTATTTCGAAGTCTGTGACGTTACTTCTGTGAAGCGTCAAAATAGCGGCTTTATTATTGTGACGTCCTCCCACTATGCCTCCATCGCAATGATAGCCGTTTCGATCCTTTCGGATGTGACACGCCCGGTGGCGATGTTCTCAGCTCGCACATCATCTAGGCACGCTTCTCACTTGACATATTTAACCTACAACAAGGCTCAGTTGGATATTCCTCTGTCTTGCCTCCACGTAAAATTTTTATTGCGTATACGCTGCGTAACGCTGCGAAATTTGGTGCACGTTTTGTGCCCCCATTTTGTGCGAGCGCGTCTTCGTATGGTTGCAGTCTCGCTTTGTTTCATGGCTCCTTCCCTGTTTTTGACCAACTTCGTGCGTTCGTTGATGAGTTTAAATTTTTGTTTTGATTCGTGTTTTTAATGCGAAAATTGCCTCCTTGTTTCTTGACCGGTGCGAACGAACAAAGGTTCTGGCGCGGTTGTACGAGATACACACATTTTCCAATCAACTGCAACATTTATGACACAACAGTCAGCTCCTTTTTTCTATAAAGAAAGGGGAAGTAAAATAAGAAAAGCAGCATTTTCGCATTCTGTAATGTTGCACACAACCAAGCAAACGTTACGTGCGCACTGCTTTGCGTAAGATGTCGGTGACTGTAAGAGCTTATAAGGCTGCAATTTAGCGAATATTCGCGTGTCCTCGATCAAGTAGGCAGACGCGCCACGCGTTGAGACTGAAATTTTCTACGACTTAAGCTACGATTCTATTTTTACAGTTTGGCACACTTTGTTTTGTAATGCGAAGCATCAAACTTGCACAGGGGGGTCGATGATGTCAAAACACCGAACCCTTATTGGCTGATTGAAAATATTATGGATAGACGTCAAGGCATCTAGCTTGAGGCCTGCTCCTTATCCTTTTTGTCAGAGCCAATCAGAGCTCGGCGTCGTTCTGACGTCACCGCAACTCCCGCACAAGAAGCAGACGACTTGTTCTCCCCATTAGTTCACCAACAGTGAGCTATCATTTGTGCTCTTCTTGTAATGGACTCCTTTTACCTGAGAGTAATTAGTATAAGAGACAAACACGGTGATCATTATGCGTTGCTTATGTATAGCGATGCATGAAGCCGCATGAGCGAATGCGTGAGAGCAGAAACAAAGTTCACCAAAAAGTAAAGGCGTTCGGTGCAAAAATGCCATACTTACACCGCAGGCACTGCCGTGTCCATGACCACCACAAAACAATTGAGGAATTATGCCGGGTCTTATTCGCCGACACTCTTGATGTGAAATTGCCGATACCATCGCCTGCTTCAATTCCCTTGCAGACCAGCCTCCTATAAAAAGTAAAGCACGATAGATGTTTCAGCTCTGGTCAAACATCACGTGGGAAATGCTGGCTCTCTTTTCGTCCATAAGAGCCTTTTTTTTTGCTCCTCTACTTTACTGTTTTGACAAAATTCATTATAGACTAACTAGCTCAATAAAAGCCGGTAAGTGAATTTTTTTCCCTTGGTTGAAGCAGGATAGTATACAGTCGGTAAAACCAAAACAAGCCACATTCTAATTCGCTGTAGGCCAATTTTCTTTTCGGAAAACAATCAGAGTTCAGTGAGTGTATGTAATACGGTATTTAGAAGAACTATATTATTTTAGGCATTAAATACAATCCCGTTCGCTAATAGTCTATTGTTTAAAAAAACTTTATGACACTAGTCTTTATCATATAGTGAAATATATACAGTTCAGTGTGCCATTTTCCCCAACAAAAACGTGATACACATGCTTGGATCTGTGTAAATACTAACACGTATGGACGCCATTTTTTAAAGTTATCCTATTCCATCGGCAAATTCATTCTAGTTTCAAAAACGATTTTTTACTAATTGTAGCGGGGAATCTTAAGGCCTCTTCACACACTTGCGACTGCTTACGACCGAGTGAAATGAAACCCATTGAAATTTCTTATGACCAGGGAGCACACTTGCGCCATCTGTCGGGTAAACGCCGTAAAACACGTGGCATTTGCGTGCATTTTACTATTTTTTCGCGCTTCGTTTTTTTATTTCTTGGCTTGGAAACCTTTTCAGAAATGTTATAACGGTAATTTTCCATATAAAGTGCAGACATTTGACCTGCAAATACAAGAAAAAAAACTTCTCTCTAAAAAAATTCCGTTCCAGGGACCCCTCATTGATGGCGCCAGCGGGCCTGTATTTTATCGTTGTAAGATATCACAAGATCTCGGTCGTAAACAAACAAAAATGTGAAAAGTGCTTTAGTATCCCAGGTAACAACACGTGGGGGGGGGGGGGGGGGGACATCGCACTACTTAAAATACTTCGTTTCCGTTTATGGTTCACTTCGCGGCCGTGGCAGCTTTTGTAGAACATAGTTCAGGGTGCCGTACCGCCCCCCTTATTTATGTAATTCTCATCTAACGCCGTAAATTTACCAGCACGTTATATTTCAACGAGGCTTCAGTAAATTGAAAAATTAGTGATAGCTCACCTCCTACTTCACCCCATCCTGTGACGTAGAGCTTGGATCCTGTCGGGAGCTGTTCCCCATGGTTTGGAAGGCATACTGGCTGAATTGTCCTTGTCATGTTCACTTTCCGTGTGAGTTTTATTATTGCGATGTCCTGTATAGCACCCTAAACAAAATAAAAAAAGATATCTATTAATTCATACTTCAGAAATGCTTTCCTACACTTTCTCAGCGAATTAAATATTCTATTAGCTTGATAACCTTTAAAATGATTATTCAGATAATAAATAATGAAAGAAAATTGTACATTCGGTTGAATATCAGCCGAATGTACAATTCGTAAACTTTCTTTGGAAGAACACCAGTTCTTCCAAAGAAATCATTTTATTCAGCTTTCCAATTCAATACCAGTTTATTCAGAGGATTGCACGTTCAGGCTTTTTGGAATTAACTTCTGGTAGACAAAGTGGTGATGGGAGTTGGAGAATCCAGTGACATTGTAGTGTCAGTCAGATGCGAAATGAAAGAAAGCATGATACGCTGCACAGTGATCTGTCTGCTCTTTACCCAAGCATTTCCTAAGATATGTCCAGCGAGCAGTTGATTATTGTCTACTGGTAATGTTAAAAAATCCCTGAGCAATTTTATCCGATACGTTATTTTACAATATCCTTCAACCACGGCACTGTTAAGGCTGGTTCGAACCCTAGCGTTTGATTACGACCGACTCCGCTATAACCGGATTATAAGCTTCCTGTGTCTGGATACGGCCACCTGCGCTGCAGCGCGGCCGGTCCTAAACCGTCAGAAAAGGTTTAAAACCGGTTTTTAAGCGCCTCCGATTATAAGCAGTCGCAAGTCTTTGGGCCAGCCTTCATATTACAATTAAAATGTTTCTTTTATGGGAAGAGTTATGTTTGTGGGGATATCGTGCATTCGATGTTACCCAGCGTATGCGCACGTCTCCATCTCAACTTTACCATTACGAATCATTGGCGACGACAGAGAAGCATCGGAAGCATATCAGCGCGTGACAGATGGTTCAAGAAATGACTCCCTTAATCTATAAACAATTTTTAACAAAGACAAATTTTATAGTCCGAATTATTACCTTCATTTATAATCTTCAATAATATGTAGCCACGGCAAAACATTTTATGTATATTTCATTAATAATAATAATTATTCATGAGAGAAGAATTACCAAGTTCAGCTTCGGACCTGGTCAAATAATTACAATAAAAATAATGATAAGCAATAAACGCTTTATTTTCATTCGCCATCAGAGTAGTGATGGGGCCGAGAATAAAAGCCGCGATAGACGGCTTGACAAAACTTGAGGTTATACAAATTCGCGTTTAAGGGACGACGTGATGTTCCTGTGCTTATATTCCAAACTAAGATTCAAAAACCTCCAAGCACGTTTCTCTTAGAGCATCTCAAACCGGCTTATATCATAATGTCAGTACGAATTCATCATACGGCGTTAAGCGACTGCCTCGAACAACGCGAAGGCAAATATTTGTAAAATAGTATTATCGACATAACAAACTCGTTTGATAAACGAATAAAAATTTAAGAATAAGCATAAACTGGCCACACAGTCAGCCCAAACACGACACAGAAACATAAAGAAGCGGTGGTTTTGTATTTGTGTTTTCAGTGCCGCTTTATGTGCAACTCCCGTTTTGGTAATCTTGCATTTGCAACATCCGACAAAACAATGATAAGGACAGCTTCAACTTTAGAGAGGAAAACGTGAAAGTGTTTTCGACAACAGTGATGGGCAGCGCGTCTAGTGTGCTGACCTCGACAGTGACGCTATGTATTAGCTACTACATCTTATTTTCTTTTAATTAAAATCAGCGTTGCCTTTAACTGAAGGCAGTCTGCATAAATATTGTTCGGAAGCTTCAGTGAAAAATAAAAGTTAGCGGTTCCCCGCCGCGTCCTGCCAATAAACTGCGGCGATATCGAAGCTCTGCACGCCCTGCTACGCTTTGCTATAAACATCTTCATTGCTGTGTTTACATGTAGTTGAATTACGTTTCACTAAGTGTAGCTGACGATGTGGATGCCACGCTATTACCTCACATGACAAAGTGACGTCCAAGTGTGGCGTGACGTCACGATGTAATTTCAGGTTAGTGGAAAAAGTTTCCCGCTAAATCGAGAGGAAGATTTTGTGACGTCAAAATCTCAGTGTCACGAGACGCTGCGATTTCCCGCTAGATTTAGTGCGTACCTTTTCACGCTAAATACAGAGGAAAATATATACACAAAGACACACCCCGGCATCTGTAAGTGACACCTCGCATATCACGGCTGTCGCGTGAAAAAAAAAATAATTACAGGGATCTGACTACTTGCTCTTCTGCTATGGGTGTCCTTCTCCGTCTTTTGTGTGTGCCGCGTCCAAAAAAGTGGTCCCTCGATTTCCGCCTGATGACGTCATACAAGTGTCATGCTGTCGCCGGTCGCGATCCTGGCGGTGTCCCAGCTGCGGTCGGCTACGTAACAGACGCCTGTTTGCTGCATGTTGCTCTGCCGCTGGTCAGTCCAGTAAAGCTTCGGAAGTCATGAGTTGCAACGCCGCGAGGACAGCGCCACTCGCGTTCGCTCGGGCTTTTCGCCAGGATTTCTACGACCAACCGCCAGAGGCGCGACGTCCGAAAGCATGACGCTCCAGTTTCTGTGCCGTCATTTGTTGCCACCTTGGGACCACGTTTGATGAATGGACGGAATGAGGCACTAAACACACCCGTCGGAGACGAAATCCGGGCACTATACTTCTGCAAAACACACACGGCATCAAAAGAGAGTGGTACGATATGCGGTTTCCTTGGAAGTAAAAAACATAGCGAACTTTTTTTTTCTCTCGAGTAACGGGCGCCGTCCGGAGAGACGTCTGCCAACTAAAAATTATGTGCAGCCCATCCTGGCTCCGCCCGTCAAAACAACTTGACATTGTGCCGGGTTGTACCGGTTTTATTGCATTTTATGCCCATGCTACCAAGACTTTTAAAAAATATTTAAAAAAAAAGACAATATGCGCTCAAAGATTGGGGCTGAACATGTTGGTCGTGCGGGACGGTGCCCTTCGAAAATGACGACACCGCCGTTCAAAGCCAGGGGAGAAAGTCTATGCATGGGCAAGACAATAAAAAAAAAATCAATGTATTTTTTTTTTTTTTTTTTTGAGGGGTGGGTATGTTTTTTGAGTTACTTTAATTAATCGTCAACATGAACGAAACCCGTGAAGCGACTTCATAGCACCAGGCCCAATAGATCTCACTGGCGCAATGACTTACCGGCCATGTGGTCCGATACGAGGCAGGGTGGACGCAGATTTCTTCGACGGCCGCGCGTACTTCCGATTCCCTCGACTGCGTGGTCTCATGGGAGCCGAGATAGACGCTGAAGCGCGAAGGGCGGAGATTCCTGGACGGAGAATGAAAAATAAACCCAGGTAGCACGCCAAAAAAAAAGTTTTAACTTGGCACAAGCTTGTCAATTCTAACGGTCTAACTTGGGCCTATATTGGTTTTGCTCCAAAGCGCTAGTCAGCACCAGGTTACAGTCGCGGACAATATGAAAAAACTCAGGTGAGCAAGTGGCTTCGACTGTCAGCAGCGCTACCTATCCGAGGAAATCACAACCTTTATCGAGGCTTCAGTGGCTGTCTACGTTTTGTATTCACTCCGTCGCTTTACCGGCTGTCGCTGAGTTAATAGGGAGTTTTCCCTATTAACCACCGTCCCGCAACGCTCTCCAGAACCCTCTAAGATACCCGGAACTCTACAGTCAAGGCCATCGGCGCGCAGACGTAATAGCGGCTTCTTCATTACGGACGGCTTAGCGGGGGGGGGGGGGGGGGGGGGGGGGGGGATGCGGTCTACGAAAACTCCCTAATAGGGTGTTTTCGTAGACTACATTTCCCCCTCCATTAAAGACTAAACCCTACGTAACGAAGAAGCCGCTACTCCGCCCTTGCGCCGATGGCCTTGACTGTAGAGTTCCGGGTATCGTACCGCGTTGCGGAGAGCGTTCCGGGACGGGGAAAGCGATCTACGAAAACTCCCTAATTCTGATTTCAGCGTCCTTTCTAGAAGCATTTCGCGGCAAAAGGCGAAATTAAGTGTGGCTGAGACCACCACGTTGACAAGTTTAGCCATCAGTTTTTGAGCGATTGGTAATATGTTCGCGGTACTAAACAGACTAAGCCGTCGTCTTTTTTTTCAGTTTTTCACCAAGCAAGCAAACATAATTCTTCAAAGCGGTCGAAATCGGTTTTGACTCAGCCATTGCTGGTCGACCAAATGGGGAGTAAGGAAAAAGGTAGAACAGCCTCTGAAATGTCGCTGGGGCACAAAATTGCTGGGATGACGACCCATACTCTTGCCGAAAAAGGTCAAATTAGGCTACACCTTGGCCTCTTCGGGCTTTTTAAGGTCCTAAATCTCCATGAAGAAACCAAATGTTGGTCTAAAGAATTTTCCTACTTGGGAAGTTATTTACACACCGTTCTTCCAGTGTAAGCTTTTGTATTGATGTGTAGCGGTATTGATGTGGAACCTAAGCGAGGCATTTTCATCTAGATTTTGTCAAATTAAATAAAAAAAGCCGGCGAGCTATTCTGTCTGGAATGGGTTCTATGGCGGTTTTGTGACCTGCTCGAACAGAAACCATTTTCGGAATGGCCAGGGCTTACGATTCACAGCATGCTCTGTATTATATCCCTTAATTCAAAACTGCTGACAAACCGGCAAATCACGGCTGTTCCTAAACTGGCGTTCAATTTTTTCCGCTGTCTCCAGTTGGGGTGGCGTCACACGTTGTATACGTTGCAAGTCGAGCAGGCAGTATAAAAAGCGCGGTATTTAAAGCGATTTTTATCTTCGTTTCGCTAGCGTGAGTCTTTCAAGTTTTTTTAAGGTTATAATCACACCATCAGACTCCTTTTAAGCCGTCGGAAACAAGCTGTACTGACTTTCTATTACAACATTTGACGTCGCGCTTCCAGTGCTGCCATTAGGCCCGCTCAGCGTCTCAAAAAAAATGTAAATATAATATAGTAGGAGCTACTAGCAACACTACTAGCAACAGCAAAAAAATATGTAAATTTAAGACCTTAACAAGAGAAAAAAAAGTATTGTGACTTGTCCTTCGAGTTGTTAGTTCCGATGTGCCCATTGATGTGTTGCCCTCATTTCAAGGCAAATCAGTGACAATCACATTTTAACGCGAAAGTATTAACTGTCGCATGAAGCGAAGCTGGTTTTGTGACTATAACCGTCTATAGCAGCGAAGCGGCAGTAAAATTCCCATTAACTAAACGCACATCAAGACAGATGCATCGTTACGGAAGCCGTAGAGCAGGCGGGGTTCTCCGCGCCTGTGCGGTGTACGGTTGGAAAATGAAAGACATGGCGGCGCTGTTTGTAGGAATGCGCTATGTGTAGGAATCCTTTCGAATTCCTACACGTAGGCAGTCTTAAGAGTCTTTAGTGTGCGCTATACTTCTTTTTCTGATATCCTTTCAGCATACGGCGTGTTTCACCAACGACTAAAAAATAGAAATTGCACTAAAAATTTAAAAAAAAAAAAGCTTCCCCCACGGTAAAATCATCGAAAAGGGAGGATGTCAGGCAGAAAAGGAAAAGAAGTACACTGAAAACTCACATTTCTCCTTGGTATTTGCTAGAGAAAATATGATCGCCGATCTATCGGTAGAAGCAAATCTTAGCCGCCCACCCGTACATTTCGGAGCACGAAAGTTGGTGCGACATTCAACGCAAGTATGAGCAAGAAGATGTTGAGGATGTAGGCCGCAACATCTCTTAAATAGCAAGGCCGATGCGTTGTATCTGCTACGGCACTAACAAGCGGCCAGAGCGGGCAACATATTGGGCAAGAGTTGGAGGTCAGCGTTCGGCAGGGATTCCTGAACTCACTGCCCCAGCGCGAATCCCTGCCGAACGCTGACACAACGATCGTCTCGAGACTGTGCACCGCGCTGGCCCATCGTACGTTACAGGGAGAATCCGGTAATACACTCTAAGAAAAGCCCGTTAGTCTACTTTCCCGCAAAACGCTTGAAGAGCCAATCAGCGCAACTTACGGAGGCAGCTCCACGAATGACGATGCTGAAACTTGTGTTTAGACCAAAAAACGCCGTCTGAGTTGTGACATGAAGCAATGCAAAACGTCACGCTTGCGTTGCTTAATGTCCAACTCAGACTGCGTTTTTTGGTCTGAGCACATGTTTGGGCACAGTCATTCGCTGAGCTGCCCCCGTAAGTTGTGGTGATTGGCTATCGAGTGTTGTGCGGGAACGTAGACGCACGGGCTTTTTTTTAGAGTGTACGTCCATTACAGCCATTGACAGCTTCCTAAACGCAGGCATTGGCCAGTGCCGAACATCTCATTGCCGCCCCACGTCCAACGAGATTGTGACATCAGCCGATAAGAACGCCAAAGAACGAACCACGAAGCAAGATGCGTGGTCTCAATAGGCCATGCGTTTTCTAATCTGCCAAAGACTACAAGAGGCGTTGCCTGTATACACTCTAAAACAAAAGCTTATGATTTCATTTTTCTACAGTGACGTCCATTTTGGCGAACAATAGGGGTATCCAAGTGAATCACGGGGCTTAGATCACGATTAGACAAACATTTCACTATGAGCGCCGAGCCCGTCAGCATGTCGTTTCACTTGCTTCTTGTACCCATGCACATTGCAGTTTCTAGATATAATCATTATCTGAGGTTCGTCATTATAGACCTTTGCATCGCTTATCACCCCGGCGTCCAATATACCGCGTAACAGAGCAACAGCGCATGCGCAGAAGGCGTTCCACAGCCCAGCAGACAAAGATGGCAGGGCGCAGAAGGCGATTTTGGCAAACGTCTATAGCTAAGACCCTTCTATTCTTCGACGTCATTGGCTGTGTCCGTTTTCTGTCGGAAAGAGAACTCGCGGTTCCCTTTTTTTTATGTTCTCTCGGTTCTTACCAGACGCAGTGTGCGGCAGTCAAGACGTGCTGGTCAGATATCAGAGCTCCTCCGCAGATGTGTCTTCCGGCGTAGATTTGCGCCTGCCAGGGCCAACTTCCCGGCACAGCCACACGACCTCCGTAGATACGATCGTTGACATCGAGGGCCGGTTCAATAGCGGGTTTTCCGCACTGATCTGGAAATGTGAAGTAACGAATTGTAATTTGTTCTCTTCTGTTTATTTTCGTTGTGTTATCACATGACTAAAGCGTTCCTGGTACTGCAGTATACTTTTTGTCTTCGGTCTTAGGCGAAAGAAAAAATAATAACTTTGGTTTCGCTTTGAAGTAAAAAATCCTATTGTTCCCTTCAGGGATTTTTGGTTTGCAAGTGCTCAGACTAATCACGGAACTTTGAGAAAGTTTGAATAAGAAACAAATGCACGAATGCCTAGTAAAATTGAAATATTGAGTCTCCGTGATTTTTAGACGCCTATACTAAAAGCAATCGGAACCTATTGGGCTTGGATTTGGTAGATGATTTGTTAAAAAAGTTAAATGACGGACATAGGTTGCATTGTTTCGACTTTACAGTTTTAGACACACTCGTGAGATACTAGGATGCATGGTTGATAAGCATACATTTCTTTGCAGCAACAATTTGACCACATTTTTGCAATTTGCACGAGGTTATCTAGGTTAATTCGGCAAGATTACAGCTCTGAAGGAAAAGAATGATTTGATAGGGTCTACCTGTTGTAGTGTGTACTTAATATCTTAGCAATCTTAAAATATTCAAAAGTGGTGTTGGTTGTATCATTGATATTCTCATTTAAAAACAACATCAGTTGGAACACATCATTCTAAACCAGAGACGAACGGACGACAAGTGGAAAAACACACCTTAACGTTGACCAGATCACCGGTTTTATAACATTGTCTTCTATCAGTTGGAATTTTTTTCAATTTAGCGATCGCGCTCATCGTTCAGGCTTGTTTCTCCGAATAGCATCCACTGCGGATTTCAGTAGCTCGCAGTTGTTGGGTTCTTTGTTATCCCCATACAAAACAAAACCCGTTGCTTTTTTTACGTAAGCACACTTATCTGACGTTTGCGCTTGATCTCTTATCGGCGAAGTCTCGTGATATTGGTTTTGTGTCTGCGGTTGCTCACTCACGAATTCCCACGGACCTAGTACTCACAATCAGGAAGACGCTATCTTTTGATTGTTCGGTGGTGTAGTTAGAAGAAAAACATGGTAACGGAAGTTTCATACATCGAAGGATGTCGATCAGTTATAAGGTTATAAATGCATTTTCGACTGTATGTACAGCCTGCCAAAAAAACATATGTCGGGGATATAACTTTTTTTTTTTACGTAAAAAAAAGACTATGTTTACTAAAAAAAGAAACGAAAGCGCAGTCAATTTAGTAATAAGAGCGGATGAAACTATACATGTATTATGGCATCTACCAACAATTAACCTTTTTTGGCAGAAAGTAACATCTATGCTCCATAACATCTGTAAATGGGTCGTTTCTACATCCTGATTCAGTGAGACTAAGCAAATAACCGAGTACCATTTATTTCAAGTAGAAACTATAACACTGGCTGTTTGGGGGCTGCAGTTTGAGCAGAACACGAATTGTTAATACGAGGCTTGGGGTTTTGTATTTGGCGTTTTCTTTTGTTCCCATTCTCCAGGGTTATAACGTTGCTTCCGGGGCATTGTCGTAGTACTAGCTATTTGAAGAAAAATAAAACACTTCTTACCGATGGCACAACACAACTAATATTTGGTCAATAAATATTAAAAAAAACTGATAAATTCCCCAAATCACACTGGTGCATCAAATCAGGTAAAATATTTAATACTTGCCTTTCTGCTGTGCCCAAGCAGACACCGCCAGAAGTATGAGTGTTAACCGCAACATGGTAGCCACAGCTGCTTGTTGAGGGTGCATGTTAAAACGACACGCCAGTGATCACTTAAATAGAGGGACGCTATTTGCATTGCTTGCACAATATACTCGACGAGACAGACGGCGAACAGCTGAGAGGTTCACGTGATAGACAAATATCGATTACATTTGCACCGGTGCAGATAGCGAAGGATGCCCGATAGCGGAACAACGAAAGAGAGGAGTGTTTATTACACTCCGCTTGTTTGCTGTTTCAGCAGGGGGAGTCACGATCCAGGATGTGCGCAGACTTCAGCCATTTTGTTTCAAAAATAAATGTTTTCAGATAGAGTTTTGGCGGTATAACGATGTTTCACACTTAAGATGCAATGCGCGAACGCAAAAAAAAAAATATTACAGAGGGCATGTGGTGTGAGCTTTGGACACTGTGCGAAGCTTTCAATTGAAACGCGAAACCCACGCTTTATTTTAATTTTTATTGGGAGCCAATTGGTATCGTTGATGTTATTTCCCCATATGAGTACTTGCCATTACACCAACATTTTTGACTGCAGACTTTGTAGTTGTAATGCAAGCGTGAGTGCTACTTGGACCAAAAATGTGACACTCGTGTTTTATTGATTGTAACAATGATGTCGGGAACGCGCCTCCTACTGGAGTGCTTAGCGTCCTATCCCACGCATACGCACAAAATGGTACCGAAGTAGAAACAAATGACGTCACAGAAACCGGAGTGCTATGCTGCCGAATGTCGCGATCCCGGCAGTTGGTAGGCGAAATGCTCGCCGTCGGCGCAGTGTCCCAACTCCAAGCTGCCGGAGATTCCGTGGACTGTCACAGTGGGGTAGCGACCAGGCAGCAGAACAGGCGTCTGCTACATCCAGCACAGCTGCTGGGACACCGCCAGGATGGCGACCGGTGACAGCATGACACTTCTATGACGTCATCAGGCGGAAATAATGGGGCCACTTTTTTGGACGCGCTAAACACACCAGTCGGAGACGCGTTCCAGGCACCTTAATTGTAACGTTACCTATAGTAATTATTATATTTAATGACCGAGGCATCCCGCTACAAAACCAGCTTCGATCTAAAAATGGTGTGTGCGATGTGACACTCGGCATTAAGATCGTATGTGTATTGACATGGCCGAAGTCGCATTGCATCCTTAAAGTTTCCGGGAAAAGAAAAATAATTGCTGCCGACCGCAAAACGAATGACTGAAGTTGACAGCGCACTTGAAGTTCTTCGGTGGAAGTTACGTGGAGGGGGGCGTTTTCGCGCGAAATGGCGACATTTGTTTGGTTGGTTCGTCGTTACATCGGGGACTGAGTTGTGGTCGCGTTTTCGTTAGTGAAGCTGGTGCTCACATTGGAGACGGTGTCGCTTGTCCGGTCATCATTCGCAATGCAGTTTACATCGGCGATGGAGGGGGTTGTCGAGCCATCGCTGCCGACGTCGTGACGCCTCCGTGTTGATTCCTAGAAGTCTGGGGAGCCTACTTTCCCGCACAGCACTTGGGCATGGCCACTCGTCGCTATCTACGGATGAAGCTCAGCGAATGACGAGGCTGAAATGATGTTTGAACCTAGAAAAACGGTAAAGGCTTTGCCAGTCAGCATGACGTTTCACCACGCTTTGTGCCACAGCCAACTCCGTTTTCACTCCGCTCCAAATTTATTAGTGTTCACTGAGGAGGCATAAAAAATATCTGCAGCCAAGCACCTCCCAAAAAAAACGTGCACTGTGTTTTCTTTATTTTTAATGTACAAACAATATTGCCATGTTTTTTTTTTGTTTTTTTTTTATTAGAAGTGTTAAGTATTGGTATGAAGTTCCCATGCACCATTTGTTTGTGTACTTATCATAATTCGGTCCTAACAGTAAGAGCCCATAAAATTGTTAATCTGTACCACACTTTCAGTTCAAAACACACATTTACGGGTCATTTAGTTATTAAAACCATGGTCCTACTTGTTTGTCAACACACCGCCAGCAACACAAATATAATTGCTCCAATCAACAAATTAAACAATATTAAAGGCATAATAATGAAGATCAAAGCGCGATACGAAAGCATGCTAGCATCTTCTCACCATAGTCACGTAACTAGGGAAGTACTGTAATGATACAAGTTATATTTTCGCTGCATATGCAGGTCGCTTAGACGTTGTACATATATATATACACCTCTACAGCTTCCCCTGGAGCCGCATGCCCTTGCATTACCTGCGGGGCAGCCTCTCCGTGGTCTGATGGTATCACATTTTAGGAGTGCCTCACACCCACGCCTGGACAGCTACTTCCAGCTTATTAATTACCTCAACATAACACTCACGGAAAATTTTTTTATGACTTTGAACAGGGGAACATTACTGGAGTGCCGGTCGGGCAATACCGATGTGCGCCCAAGACTGCCATGTGCGACAAAGACGGCCGAACTCGATCGGGCACCGGTCATTCGCTGCGTCGTGTGAATTCATACGAGTTCGTGATGCAAATGCATCTGATCGGGGTGACACGTCTCTTTGGAACTTCGTACCGCCAGTCGGACGTTTAGTTGCGAAGGGGTATGGCATGACCAAGCCCCATGTGGCTATCACCTGTTAGATACAAAAAAATTAACCTGCCAGGATGCCAGTTCGTTGTCATTTGTTTCGTAGTTTCCTAGCCTCACGAGAGATTTCTCGATCAAGTGGCATATTAATGCGATGGCATTATCAAGCTACTCATCACAGGTTTTTGTATATTTATATAATCTCTAACGGTAGTAGGCAAGGTTCCCCGCAAAATTTATCAGAAAAAAAAAATTGACGTCGTGTTGCCTATGCATTAATTTAATTTCCCCGCTGAATTTAGCGAAAAATTAAATTCATGTGACCAATGCACAAATTCAGTTTCCCCGCTATATTTAGCGGAAAAATTGACGTCACGACCTATGAACCAATTCAGTTTTCTTGAATTCGTCCTGGACGTCGCTCTTAACATCAACCTCTATGACGTCGTCCGCGACGACGTCCATGGCCTCGTAACAAAAGGAGGTAAGCATGTCGAATGCTATCGCAATTCATGCATGCATAACCAACAATAATAGTTCCTGCATTTATTTATTATTTTACCATATCTCCTTTCAGGATGGTTAACACAACTCTATACACAGCTGATTCAGTCGAAACTGCATTATTATTTGTTGGTTTGAGGCTCGACAACAAAAACTAAGACTAAGCGTTTACTAACATAAAAAAAATTATCAATTCGGTTAATTGATATTATATATTGATCCGAATCAACTTGATCTGAATCATCCAACATATAATATTACCATTCGAAAATATTTTCTGCTTGAGAGTCGTGATTTTGGTACAGTCTCATATTAAAACTGATCATATTAGTTTTTATGATACATACGACCCATGATCAAAAAAGCTCCCGGACTTATTTTATGAAATATGCATTAAAAAAATGAAAGCCGTCTGCAATTCCCTGTATTTCCGAATTAGAGCGCTGCTCTTGAGGAGGAGGAGGGAAGGGTACTGAGGGTCACGCGTTCTCGGGAGGGGGGTCACGTGATGTCGGGGGGTCACGTGACCTAAGGGAGGGGTCACATGACCTTCGGAGGTCACGTGAACCCCCCCCCCCCGAGTTCACGTGACTGGTGGGGTCACGTGACCTCCCAGGTCACGTGATCCCCAGGTGGGATTCCCCAGGTGGGGGTCACGTGACCCCCAGGAGGGACCTCCCAGGTCACGTGTCCTCCCAGAGAAATTTTTCCGCTAGATTTAGCGGGGAAATTTTTCCGCTAGATTTAGCGGGGAAATTTTTCTGCTAGATTTAGCGGGGAAATTTTTCCGCTAGATTTAGCGGGCAATTTACCCATAATCCACAGCGCGGTTACGCCGACGGCAGCGGCGACGGCGCTCAAGCTGGAAACGGGTGCCTAAGAGCTGCGCTCTGAAACATTTATAAGTTATTGGAGATTGTCCCCTTAGGAAGCTAAATTTTTCTCACCGCCGTTTCCAATTATGGAAGGATTCTGAGAACTCATCTTCTGGAATGCAGTTCAGCTCCTCGGACGATTTGTCTTTAATTGCGTCAGTTGAGTCCCATCTTCGCCATTTCAAGGGTCTCTTGAGTTTCGGAAGCAGGAAAGAGTTCGCAGGGGAGAGGGACGGTGAGTACGGGGGATGCTGAATGACGGTCAAAGCCCTTTTTGTGCAATAGTCGCGATCGAATGAGCAAGGCAGAATGAACATGTGGGTTGTTTTAGTGCAGCACCCACTCCCCACTTCGCCACAGCTCAGGTCTCTTCCTCCTCACAGGCTCGCGCAAATACATCAGGGTTTATAGGTAACGAAAGCGGCTAATTGTCTCACCTTGTGGACAAATATCGTAGGCAACACCCCTGCAGTCGAAGAAAACTGTGAGCATGACCTTGACATTTGATTTCACTTGACGAGCTTCTGTGGCTGTTGGAGAGGATTGGGCCTGCCATTTCTATGATTGAACTTTTGTTTCCACGTCGTACCCATAAGCCCACGTCTCGCCCCGAGTAATGACACCTTTAAAAATATTTTCATCGTCATTTGCCATTTCGAAAGCTCCTGACTAACCTTAACTCGTTGTTGTTTTTGCTCCTAGGTCAGTAGCCTCGGGACAAACATTACCGCTACATGGCGCGTCTGCAGTTTTTCAGTTAGAATTCCTTGATAGCACTCAAATGAAATACTGCATTCTTCTGCCATTTCACGGATAGCTACTTTACGGTTTGATCAAACGAGAACGTTCATTTTGCCAACATGATCGTTGTTACTCGAAGGTGATGGGCGTCGTTAACAAGGATCGTCTTCTGGCAGTGTTCGGCCTCCTTTAGACCTCTTGTACCGCTCACGACACCGTGATCGACTCAGACATTTGTTCCCAAAAGCCTCTTGCAATACCTGAAAAGCTTTTGTAAAATGTTTACCCAACTTCACACAAAACTTCAGACAAACCTGTTGCTCTTTTTTATATATACATTTGACGAAAGATCACAAAATCGGAAAACACGAAAAGGCTTCTTTCACGAAAAAGTATCTTACTTCACATTAAAAGAAATTCAAAGACGTTTACAAAC